TCATCAAAAAAAATATAAAAAATGCCACCTAAGCAGGGTTAACGGCTCAATCTAACAGAAGGACTAACGGAGTGCATTTCGTATAGTTGAGGGATCAAAAAAGTGCAAAAAATTGTTAAGGGACCAAAAATGTGCAAACCACTAAAGTTGAGGGACCAAATCTAGCATTTAACCATCGAGGAATGGAGTTACATAAGGAGACTGAAGGGTAAAAAGGTGATTTTAAATACGGAAAGATGGATGTTAGGGGCAGAGGGCTTAAGGTGAAAAGACCACAATGCCCCCAAAACAGACCTGAAATAGCGAGCACACTATTTGAGGTTTGAGCCACTTTCAAGATCAAATGGTAATTACAATGTGAACTTTGAAGTGAGAGAAATGGGCAAATAATGAGTGATGAGAGAAATAGGAAGGAAGATTGAGAGAATTGAGTGATGAGAGAGATAAGAAAGAACAGAGATTTAAATTTTTATATTTTGATTTCTCCCCTCTTCACCAAATAAATTAAAAATAAAATTACGAGACCCGGAATTTACACTACTTTTATTGAAAATCTTACGTGTTGAAAATAAAATTTTGTATCTAATTTAAAATTAATTGATAATAAATAAAGTAATTTTTTTATATTTAATTTACAAATTTCTTATTTTTATACTTGACGTGAGATTTTCTCATTTAATATGTGCCCCTCGTGTATAGACCCGCTATAAATGTTGAATCCTGTCACCTAGGTTAACATGTTCCCTTAAATACAAGTCCAGTATCAACATCGGGTCCTATTAGATGAGTTAACAACGGGCTTTCCAGGGTAAACATTGGGCTCTGATACCATATTGAAAATCTTGTATGTGAGTTCAACATAAAATTTACATTCAACTTAAAATTAATTAACAATAAATAAAATAACCCTCCTTATACTTAACTTACAAATTTCTCATTTTTATGTTCAATGTAAAATTTCCTCGCTTAACAACCCCAACACATATAAGGAAACAATAATTGCCTCACAAGGTCTAAAATTGATTAGGACAAGCAAGAAAGTCAGTCAACTACATGATAGTGGTATGCATTTCACCTCTCATTTTATATTATAAAATTTTAATTCCTAAATTAATGAAATTCATTAACTTTCAGTTAAAATAAAAAATGACAGTGATTTTTTGGGACGAACTGTACAGTGATAGTCTATAGTTTTGTTGTTGAAAACTTGAAAAGAATAAAAGTAAGTTATTGCGGGCGAATGGCGATTGTGAGCCTGTGAACCCATTGGTCATGGGCTTATGATTGGGTCAAACACCAAACCTGCCCCAATAGGCCTATTCAATTAAAAAATAGAGTCCGAGCCCACACTATCATGGTGGACATAAGAAGTCCAAACGAAATGCTGCGGCTAATATTATCATAGTGTAAAATTGTAAATATCCTTTTCTAAGTGAGTTCACAGTGTAAATAAATATGTAAACATGGGAAAGCTTAGATTAGATATTTCAAAATAGCTCAGTCCAAAATAATAATAATAAATGAATAAATAAATAAATAAATAACGGAAAGAAAAATGAAAAATAATTGAAAAGTCTTGTGGCGATTTCAGCACCTTGCTCAATCACATCTATTGTTTTGGTTGCAAAGTCTGTTTGCTATGCTGTTAAACAATTTTTTGTCTGTTTACAACTAGCCGGAATTGTGCTACAATTTTTCTTTTTTAGTAATTTGTGTGAACTAGTGTTCTCTACGGGGTTTTTCCAATGTCGTTCTTAATGGAATAGCAGGAGTCAGGCTTTCACCGGCAAGCAAAAGGGTATTGACTTCTAAATTTCATTACTATTTACTTGATCTCATGACTTGTTGCATTATCTTTAATTAAAAATGTCCTAGTTTCATTACATTTGTTTAGGGAGACAACAAATGCAACTCAGCCTTAGGATTAAAACATGCACCCAAAATTGAAAAGAAATGCTACCAGTGCGCACAGCATGATCTAATTTAAGGTTTATTTGATACAACTTGTTGGAGTTTTTGCTCTTTTTTTTGTACTATTTATAAGTGATAAGTTTAAATTTTTATTGGAAGGAAAATTTAAAGTTACTTTTAAAGATAAGAAAAATTGAGTAAAAATGAAGTTTATGAAAAATTTGAATTTGAAACTTTTGATCTTTTACTGTTTAAGATTTTTTTAAAGTTAAAAAAATATTTAAAAATATAAATTTTTATGAGAGAAATTTAAATTTATGAAATATGAATAATATCAAAAAGCTGACGCACTTAAGAAGCTGCACCAAACGGACCTTTGAACTGATAACTTCTGCATGCAGGCACTTGAGTTGGTGCCAAAGAAGATACATGGAAGGTCTCCCATATTTCTTGGCACTTAGATGATGTTGAAGAAATTAAAGTACTGATGAGAAGAAGAAATAAATGTACCCATTAATCTCAAGCTTTCCTGTTATACTTGACAAAGTCTTATAGACCCAATTCTAATAATCTCTGTTTATAGACTGGGACAAAATACAATTTTCAACTTTTAACATTGATTCTGTAACTACAATAATGATACAAGCAATTATGTTGATGTTATATTTGGAGTAAATGTACATTTCCTCCAAAGGTTAGATTTCAACATCAATCACTTTATTTAGTATATAAATAAGATAAAACAGGGAAACACAATGATGAGTTTGATATATAAGCACATTCAAGTTAATTTAACTTACAAACATATATATACACATTTTAACATGCAAATGTTATACAAATAGACACTATAATCTATATATAAAAATCTAAAAATTAATTATTCAATACAAACATTGATAACATAGTTTGTACATAAATATATAAGTTATCTTAAGCATCAGGATACAGATAGTTCTTACTTAAAAATGACCTGAAGAACAACCTGTAAGATTGTGAGAACCAAGATGATAAGGGCAAAGACTTGCGAAATAATAGCCCATGGCTTAGTAAAATAGTTGTGGATGTAAAAAGCTCGCCATGTTGGACAACACCCCTAGCAATAAGATCTCACATCCGAGCAAAGTCCAGCATAATACAAACAGTCCACATGGGTGCCATTGTGTAGTCTGTTGAGGAAGTCAGACACATCTGCAGGGGTTGACCAGTTATTAAAAATGTCTTCTCTGGACAGTAAATCCACATCCTCAGGGGTGTCCACAAGTCCATTTAGGAGCTTTGCATAACAGGTGAGTTTAGGAAGGTGGGGACGGTAACATTGCTCGAAGCTGATGAGGCTTCGGAAGATTGTTTCTGTTGTTGGGTGAATAAGTAAAGATGGGATTTCGAGAACACCTTCAGTGTTGTTGAACCTTATATCCAAGATTCTTCTTGACTCAACTCTTCTGAATTTGACTCCTGCCTCTCGAAGGCTTGTAGCAGAAGGAATATTATGCCTGTTTTGGCCTAAGTGTTCATCGCCCCATCTGGGTTGTTCTGATGAGGAGCCCACATAATACCATGCAAGATCGAGGATGTGGTTGATCTTTAATGACCGTATCTGAAGTTTGTCAAATGAAAATATCGAGTAGAAAACATCAATTGCAAGTTCAACCAAAGGCTTGTCTTTTCTCTGAGACTCTGGTCCGCTCATACAAGCGCTCAAGCACAAACCAAGGTATCTGGTTTTCTATCAAAAACAGGTCATGACGCCAACTCGCCAAGTCGGAATCATGGCATTGGAGAAGATGAACTCTTCACTGTAGTTTGTAGGTATGAGCCCATCTCTCTTCCGAAGCATCTCAATAATAAAGCAGCCATCCAACAGGAAAATTTTCTCAAATTCTTCTCTGCTGTAGACATTGATGGCCCCCTTACCCCCGTAGCATTCACAAGCCTCGATCAGCGCCTCTGATATGGTTTCTTCCAAATCTTTAATCTTATCATCCGGACTTGGGAAACGACGAACAAGTTGTTCAAGAGAGTACATTTTGTACTTTTGAGCCTCCATCAGGTGTGGTTCGCCAAAGTGCCAGGGACCCAGTGAAAAGAAATAGGGCTTATAAGCCTGTGGATTTTGCATTTTGAGCGTGCCCGGAACTTTGAAGATGCAGGTAGCTCGGGAGATGGTAGAATCCCCCAGAAGCAATTTTTTGTACTTGACTGTCCAATGGACATCCAATGCGAGGTGTTCGGCGCGGTTATTACCCTCTGGCATAAGTGGATTTCTTTGCAACTCTTTAATTTCTCCTCTCATTAGTGGAATATAGCACATGAACATCCGTTGGGTGTTGATTCAAAACTTCAAAATAAAAATTCTGATTTTCTTTAAAACAAGTTAAGATAATTTTTTTTTTTAAAAAAAAAGTGAACATTTTGCTACCTTCCATTTTTGGACAAAAAGGTGAAGTATGCTTCGCCGGGAGATAGATGGTTCTACGCATCGATGGAGGGCCCTACCAAACCGTATATCAAACAAAAGAAAAAGTAAAAACCTGCATAAAAAAACGAGTAAAGGTGTAAATAAGGATTCCAATTTTGTACTTATTTTTATTTAAGAATGTTAATTTTGACAGTTTCTAAATAAGGATGTTAACTTTTAATTTTTTTCTAAATAAAGATGTTAACTTTATCAGTTTCTAAATAAAGATGTCAACTTTCAACTTTCAACTTTTTTCTATTTAATGATGTCAACTTTCAACTTTCAACTTTTTTCTATTTAAGGATTAATTGAATAGTGATACTGACCTGGCTAACATATATTTTTAAGTTAAATATTTGAATTGGTCCCTCAACTTTTATTTTTGAACCAATTCGTCCTTGAACTTCAAAAAGTACCAAAAACGTCCTTCAACTTCAATTTTCAATTTCGTCTTTTCGTCAGTTAAATGTTGATGTAACTAATTTTTTCGCTAAGTGATTAACTATTTTACATTTTCAATATTAGGTGGAAAATCCATCATGTAAAAGATGATTATGTGGATTTTTTTAATTTTAAATAATTTACAAACTACTTTAATTCTTAATTTTATTTTATTTATATTTAAAAA